CACAAACTCAGAATACATGATTATGAAACTACTACGTTCTCAGAGGTTATTGCCTAATTCGTGCAATATTGTTTTTGTGCATGAGGAGTCTCCTCCATCGAGCGACGGGACACACCGCTACTGTACTGATGCAGTAGCGCCTCCGCCATCAAGCCATGGGACATACCTGCAGCTGCCCCAGAAGCCTCCTTTCTCGACCTCTCCACTGTACTAGGAGCCTCCTTCTTCCTGGACCTCTCCGCCTCCACAACCGAAGAAAGCCCTCAAGAATTACGTAAAGGAGAAGATTGAGAAGGCTTTGGAGATCTTCGAGTACGTTACTGTGGGGATTTTTGTCATCTCCCTCGCCGGCTTCATTTTCTTCAAGGCGGCGGCATTCGTCGCTCACCGCCGTGGGGCAATGCAGATGGCTGCCAGGTTGGAGGTGATCGTTGGGCTGTCACATCATCTTCAAGTGGACGAGAGCAATGCTTGACTGCGAGTGCTAGTGTCAGCATGGTGGATGACTAATTTGTAGCAGCAAGTACCCTAGTGGGCTTTTTGAATCATTTTCATCTTCGATCTTAATTTTTGTTGAACGATCTGGTGTTGAATATATCATTTTTTATGGTTTCAATCTTATCCTCTTGACTATCCTTTGAAGTCACCCGTTTAGCGATGTCTTGGTTTGAACTGCAGAAGATTCTCTTTCAATTTGGACTTAGCAGTAATGCATATTTTATTATTCTTAAGTTGTATGCACAAGAAGAATACACAATTTTGACACTACTACGTTCTCACATGTTATTGTTTAATTCGTGTAGTACTATTTTCATTCTCACATGTTGCGCAAGCGAGGACTTGGGATAAGAAAACATCGATTGTACGTTTGCAATCTGATAATTCGATTATTCTCTTAAAGTCTTACACCTACTATTTATTCATTATACTTCCTTTGTAAATTAATGTAAGACGTTTTAGGCGAAAATACATAGGAGCACCCGCGGCTACCTCCCCTAATATCTCACCATTCAATATGCATACAGATCTGCGCTAATTTTTTAAATAATACATTTTTTATTAATTTGCATAAATATCATGCCTGATAAATAACTTTCAAAAATAATACACCGTCGGCCCGCTGCTGGTCGACTGGACCTAGTCGGTCCACAGCAGGCCGACTGAGGCCCTATCGGCTTGCTGCTGGCTGATTGGCCTAATTGGTCAGCTGTGGGCCGACTGGTGCATGCCTCTATTCTTGCCCCGTCCGATCCCCGCTTATGTCACGGGACGCCACTTCCCGCCATTTCCCGCTTTGCTCGTTCCCGCAAAATTTTCCCGCTTTGCTCGTTCCCGCTCTGTAATTCCTGCCATATTTTCCCACTCTCTAGTTCCCGCTAGTATCTCCCGCCATATGTTCCCGCTACCGAGTTCCCGCATTTTTTTGTGTTCTCAACCTATAAAACACCCTCGGCACTAACATTGGTAAGCATTGTAGCGTAGTCTCGTAGTCTCGTCAAGATGTACGGATATCCTTTTGATCGCAGTTTTCACACTAGTATGTCCGAATGTCTTTTGAGTTTAGCCGCTGATTTCAGGGTTGACAACATATTAGTTCCTTGGGAAGAACTCATCAGTAGTGACACCCTACTGAATGAGCTGGCTCACGCATTAAGTAGGTGTGGGTGACCTTCCAGGACCTTTGAGAAGATACGGAAAGAACTTTTGAGGTTGCATGGAAGATACCTAAAGTGTGGAAGGTACCTTAACTTTGAAGCAGAACATACTTATTTATGGAGCCCGCTCCCTGTCGGCCAACAGCTGGCTGACTGGGGCGCTCGTCACCCAGCCCGCGCCGCAGCAGCGTAGCGACGTGGTCTGGCCAGTAGTCGGCCTGCACGTGGCCGAGTGGCCACCTGTCGGCCCGCTGCTGGCTGACCAGGCTTAGTCGGCTTGCTGCTGGCCGATTGGATAATATTTTGGTAAATAAAAATATCAGCGTAATATTTGTGCAAATTAATAATAATAAATATTATTTTAAAAAAAATAGCCAGATCTGCACTGCTATATTACCATGGTTGTATTCTTTGCTATAGTTCGTTCTATGTGTTCTTGTATTTTTTTTCTTGTATAAATAGTACAGGGAGGTATTCCCTGCATAGACTGCCCCCCTTGTGGCCCACCCCACGCTCATGTGCCAACCCCCATCAACCAATAACGACATCATCATTAACTCGTGACTCACATGCATACAGACTTTGTAAAACCCAGAGTTTAGAATCATGCAACACATCTAATATTCAGTTTGTACCAAATATTAAACTGCAATATTATTTCATCTTTACAAATAACTTTCACAAGTTTATGTTTTTGTACCAGTTTTAAAACAGTAATATCATTTCAACTTTAAAAAAATTTAAGTTTAATGCATTTAAATAATTTCCAAGATTTAGTAAATGGGAAATCAAATTATTGGATGAAGTTATGTGTCTTCTATGAAAATTGAGAATCTCATCATTTGGTAACTAAAATAAATACTATGGATTTCATGGTTGTTAAATCCACCTCCAACGTTTTTTACAACGAAAGTTGCCATTCAAAAAGAAAAAACAAAAAAAACTGAAACTTATCATCCGAAAAGAAGGTTGTCATGCTTGACAACTAAAGTTGTCATCT